ATTGATGTGCTTATAGTATTGCAACAATTATGCTAATTCTATTACACATGGAGATATTTATTATTCAAAGTGATAATTATTTTTATTTTTTACCCCACTCTCACCTCTTGGAAACCTGCTCGTGATAAAAGCAGCGTGATGAGAGTGAACATTGCTGCTCATGACTATTCATTGCAACTGCATGAACAACTTTCAAATCGCAGCTTTTAAATGTGTGGCTTTGTGCATAATTATACCTGTGCTAATTTATGATTTTATTTTGAATTTTTTTTTTATCATCAAGACTGTACAAACATAACATGTTGTATAATAATCGTCATCACGTATAAGCATACATCTCTCATGAATAATTAGTTTAACAACCTACCTCATTTCAATAAACACCCTCTGGTACGGATATATCTGTCTTCGGCGAAGGTCATTTATAATGTGATAAATAATTACATCACGTGAAGATATTTTCGCCCCGTAATTTAAAGTGCTATACCCATTGTTTTCATATAAGTGCCTCCAGTTGAGTGCATTTAATACTTTATAATGCACATGCGGACATTTATAAAGCACTTTAAATTCTACTGAATTGAATATATAACGCGTATGCAATACATAACAGCTATTTAAAATAAATAATACAAGGCATTGTGAATAATGGTTTCGGTGAAGGCTTTCCCTCACGGTTCAGTGTTGCTTCCACCCACCGCACACCCGTGCCACGTGAACCTCTGCCATCGCCACATCTCTGTAGCGACCTCCCTCCTCAACGTAAATCCTCTCCTCTGGCTGCCGTTTGGTGCCATGGGGTTGTCTGACCATTGTTTTTGGCCATGCTGGTCAGTGCGGGTTTGTGCGCGGGATATTGCAGAACTGATTCCGTCACGGCTCGCCACTAATGTTAACCACGGCCGGGACTCGAACTCAGCTGCTTAGCTATTGTGCCACCTCATCGCCCAGAGTTCATGGTGCGCGTTTTGAGTGTGGTATTATTGTAGGCGTGCGAGTGTGCTTTGCATGCGACTGCATTGCGTGTTCAATAATTGAGTGAGATCATGCCACGTTTGGAAAATCCGTGGCTTGGGGCCATACTTTGTTCCGTAGTTCATGAAATTGTTCCATTTCGCACTAAATGTCAGCAAACCAAACTTTGCTGTCTAAATAGTTTCCATCAATCAGCGTCTGTGCCGCTATATGGTGCACGCGTAGTTTACAAATGGTGCGTGCAGGCGATGGAATTCAAGAAGTAATTTTCTGAGAGTAATGTGCATGCTGAATCTTGAGTGGCTACTTTAAAGGTTGCCTCCATTAAACCTATTCAGTTTTACAATGCTCAGGTGCATCATTATTTATTTCTAGCATTCGTCAGTTTTTCGTAAAATGCATCTTATCGCGGTTTAAAGATCACGTGATATTTTGGGAAAAATATGCTTTTTGAATTATAAAATGAAAGGATGCTCTCGATATATATTAATGCATTCATACAAAGGTGGTGAATGCACTCACACATATCCTGAAATCCATTTTTGATTCTCAATTATTTAAGAATCTGTTCTTTCTTTTTTGTCTCGATTTTATCATCGCATTTGCATTGTCTGCAATGTTGGCGTCGTCCATACCGTCTCATTTGTACTTCGCCTCTTCGACTTGTTGACTCGCTACATCTGTTCAAGTTCATATAAAGATTATCTCCTTCATACAACACAATCATCGACTCGGTCCCACAGGCCCTCCCATCTTGCCTGCAGGCCATTCCGGAATTGGGATGGTATCTGGCCAATGCATTGCCAGTGCAATGTCGAGTGGCGCTTAGCCACGCTAAGCAATTATTGAAGCCTAGTTAAGCTAGGTTAATAACAATAATTTAAACTTGGAACGTGCACAGTATTCTGGGGGGTGAGGAAGCAGGCGAAATAGGCAGCAGCAAGGCACTAAGCCGGTGCCAAACTCCTCACAGGCTCTGCAGTCCTCCACATGTGAAGGTGTAGTTCCACGTGGGAGGAAACCGGAGCACCCAGATAAATTGCACGCATGCAATGGGGCAACGCTACATCCCATACAAATGGAGCGAGTGGAGTCCACATTTGCTGTACCTCACTGGCCACGTGAAGGGAGTTTGCCCATGTGTTCGTGACCCACCAACCATTGCATTCACTGTGCTCGAATGCTCTCGTGTGCCACGACTCTCCGGATACATCGAGATCACAGTAGAATTGCAAAAAAAATATCCCTTCTGTTAAATACGTTTTTTTTAATGGCAGATACCCCGTCAGAATACCATGCAAAATGGATTGAGATTTTAACGTGGAAATCACCATGGAAAGAATCGTAATTTACCCAAGAACTGTCCATGACAGAATCAAAGGAATTGAATGCAGATTTCCTGCACGAATTGTCCCGGGTCTAATCAGAACATGTACAACACTCAAGCAGCTTATGGTGGTGTATTGCATAGCTGCAGCCTGCTATGCACAATCACAGTGCTCAGGACGTCAAGCCGGAGCACAGCAGCATCTTAACATGACATGTAAACCACTGCAAGATCACCGTCATTATCAGTCTGAACCATCCCCACCGTCACGTTCGGTTTAAGCGGACATAGCCCGTCGAGGCGAGTCGGGGGACAGTGATGCGTGAAGCTCAATTTCCAATCTGACCCAACGAACCCACCGCATTTCAGATAGCCGTGCAGATGGACGCTCAAAATTCGCATTTGCGGAGCTTAAGTGGGGGGGGGGGGGAGAGGTGACATGCTGCTGTAGATCGAGCCAAGTGAGATGTATCAGTCACAAGGCAAGAGCACAGGGGGCATTGTTCTGTTTCTGTACACGCTTTGTTCACTTGTGAGTGTATTTACCGCATTTCAAGGCCCATTTTCAGCTTGATTTGCGATTTCGATGTTTGCGGAACTGTTGGTAAATGCCCACGTATCTCATGGCACTGTGAAACTTTTCGAAAGAAAAAATAAGAACGTGCAACGGCGACAAACGGAAAGGAAGAGGGGCGCTCCCGTGATTAACGGAGTTAGAGAAATGTGAACAACAACAACAGCAGCAGCAGCAGCACGACGTGTGGGGTCCAGAGCGCACACAACGCATGCCAGTGCCAGAGCCCCCGGTGCGACAACTTTCGTGATTTCTAAAGAAGTGTGTTGTTTCGATTTAAAGCTTTCGTGACTGCAAGGATTCATCTTCTTTGGTTCTTTCGGTAAAGTCACGTAGAATGAGAATAAAATAATAAATTGATAAAATAAAATAACACAATAATATTCTCACGACGTTTCGGCCACAACACAAGCGGCCTTCATCAGGTGAAGGCTATGTGCTTTAACTTTAACATAGCCTTTTCTGTGACCAGTCACAAGCTAATCACTCAGCCATTTCAATGCTAAATTATATACTAATTCGTTTGTCAAGGCGCTTTGTTTCTTCTCACACAGCTTAAAGGTCGTGATCTCAGCGTGGCTTTCTCACTCCAGCGCTGTCCTCCAGACAGTCTCGTCCCCTTCACCTGATGAAGGCCGCTTGTGTTGTGGCCGAAACGTCGTGAGAATATTATTGTGTTATTTTATTTTATCAATTTATTATTTTATTCTCATTGTACGTGACTTTACCGAAAGAACCAAAGAAGAAGTGTGTTGTTGTTGCTGTTGTTGCGGGATGAATCGACGTTGACGACAACATGTGCACGATCCCACCATCATTATGTTCGTGGGTGATGGAGTCAAACTGTTGGCTAATGTAAAAAGTTCAGCCATTAAGCGATGTTAGGTCAATAAAAAAAACATGAACATTGACTTGTCAGAACACTGCGCTTTTGAGAGCCGAGCAAAGTACATGAAACGCGGCGTGCTTGACACGGAATACCATGCATCACATTAACCTCTGCTGCTCTGTGGCTCTGAGCGAAGTTTAATCTACTTTGCTAATGCACCCTATTTGAATTCACGGTAATGGTGTACAGTAAGCGGGCGTATAGAACAATGCAGCTGATGGGAGGTGAATGCAACACAAATGTAGCATTGAGGGCCGATGGGCATCGCATAGCGCAATTTAACATCGCAAAACATATACCATCACTACCGTCAGGTTTCTGGCTATAATTTTGGATCGAGTCAACGTTTACATTAACATGATGATGGTGCATGCCGTTTGTCATCCACGCCTCAATGTCTCTTTAATCTGTCAGTTCGCGCAGGTGTTACACAGTGCTGGCACCATGCATATACTCTGACGATATCCCACCGTTGGCCGTATGCCTTTCCTTGATCACTTGTTTTTGGGTGCCACCTCGATGCCCACTCGGGTGTTGCTCGCAGAAGGGGAGCGGTGGTTTCTGGTGTTATTCATGGACGAGTTATTTTTATTGTACTATTTCAGATGCGCTTTTGCGGCCGTCTGGAACGCTCGTCCCTCCGATAGTAGGAAGCCACTGGAGCTATGCGCTTTTATATAATCTACATTGAAAACTAATTTATTTAGAACTGCTTTTTGTATTTAGTTTGTTGTCCTTCCCCCCCCCCCCACCTCCGATTAGCATGGTTGGATATGTACGGTGTGAAAAAAGTTTAGCATTCATACACACGCTTACCGCCACCGCCAGCCCACCACTGCCTCAAACACCAGTCTCTTGACACTGCACACGATGGCAGCAACTCCTAGACATTGCACGCAATTTCCATGCCACATCAACTGTACCGTTGGCTTGCGATGGATGATTATATCTACAATAATCAAACACTAACACAGACAAGCAATAGCTGTTGGCCAGGTCTGGCAGCACATCTGCCAAGCAGTAATACAGTAGATTATGCATGTATGTTGAACTTCTTTCACACCGTACGTATCCAACGGTGCTAATCGGAGGTGCCGCAGGAGCGCATCCAAAAGCGCGCGATGCGGTGACCGTTTCTGCTCGATTTACTGGCTAAAAATCCGCTAGGACCGTGAACATTGGAAATCTGCCGATGTAACACCCAACGATGCTCCTGCCTCTTGTCCTGGTGCCAGCTGTCCCCGTGCGAACGTTGCCGGTGCGAGTCCAACGGGGAGGTGGCGTGCGTGGTGGCCGAGTGCTCCGACCCGGAGTGCGTGAACCCCCTGTACGAGCCCGAACAGTGCTGCCCCATCTGCAAAAATGGTAAGGAGGTTAAAGAGTGCAGGCCTGCAATGGCTTTCTCGTGAAAAAAGATGAACTCTTAAACCATTTTTATTTTACCATGTAAGGCCCACTCAGCGATATAGCTCTATTTCAGATGCAACTTGGCTACCACAAATGATAGCCCGACGAAGTGGCGTATCACGTGGAAATGCGTAGCAGGCAAATACGAAATTTGGAGGGAAAAAAACCAGAGGACCTGGAAAAAAAATCCACACGATCACGGGGAGAACATGCAAACTCCAAATATACAGGTGTCACGGTTGGAATCGAACCCACGCCCTCCTGCATACCAGGCGAGTGAATTAACATCTCACTACCACGGCACTCATGCCACTGCTGCTGGAAGAGCCTCACTTCGAGCGAGTTCTAGAGCCCTTCCAGAGGCGTTTTGGGCCGATTCTTCCACACTAGCCAAACAACTTGGAAAACAGATTTTCTATTTCAGCAGGAAGAGCCCGAAATGCTGTTAGACTAATTCACGAGTCGGAGTAACCATACTTTACGCCACTACGTGTGATAGATGTACGGGGAATTAAGATGTTGGCAGTAACATTATAACCGTTTCTCACTCTACTGTGCATCAACTCCTTACACTAAGAGCGTGTGCTACCGAGATCCACTCCCTGTAACGTTACACGCAAATGTTCTACAGATGTTTAATCTGTTGCAGTATGTTGAGTTTTAACAGTTTGCTTTCTATAATAAAAGTGCATATCATCGATGAACAGTTCACCAATAGCTGAACCACATCTCAACTATGTAGAGTAGTCTTTTCACTCGTCCTTTATGATTTAAGGCAGAACGAGGTAGGGCAAATGTCTGATTCGTATCGAAATCATGAACTTTGCAAAGGATTACTTCACTTGTGTTTAGTTGGTTGTCCTTCCCCCGCACCTCCGATTAGCACGGTTAGCTATGTACGGTGCGAAGGAAGTTCAACAGACACGCTTACCTCTAATACAAAACAATGAACAGGTGGTCTTCCATAAAAGCACAATTCCCACCGACCCCTCATGAGTGGCGGCGATTGAGTTCCACCTCCGTGGATCGTCGAGTGGTTTTGTTTGGTGGTGTAATGGATGCAATGCATCCATAACGCTTTACACACTACTGCATTTTTCAAACAATTATTTTTATACATTTTACAGAGTCTTTAACCGGTAATTACTTTCACTAAGTTGCCTTAATTAACAATGTAAATTGGACAATTATGTGTACTCAACTGCCCACTGCACAAATGCTCTCATGTTCACACTCCCAGTTTAATAGTGTGCTAGATTTCCAGCGATTGAAATGCCCCCAGCGCAGGTGGTTCACGCATTACAGAGGCCCCTAAGCAAACTGCTGCTCTTGCAGCGCCAAGAGACATGCAGAGAGACAGTTGGTACTCAATTACTGCAGTTTCATTGCTTGGTTGCATGCCACCAACACCATTCGGAGCCAACCTTCTGACATCCAGAAGTGTAAATCTGCCTTAATACTAATTTCCATCGCCAATAGAGTCTACCGAGCTACATAATGTTTTAAACAAAAGAAGAAAAATCACGCATGCATAGATTCTGTAATGTTTCCCAATACTTATTCAAAGGCATTAACTAGCAATAATAAGATTACGTTCCAAGCGAGATCACATCACACATGATGACACCATTGCATGATGTCACACCTATAGACATCATCCGACTGTCTGTAAAAGCAAACACGTTTAGCACAGGTTTTTTAAATCACCAAATTTTGAACAACCCTTTTATCGAAGTGCCCAATTTTGTACTGGGAAAATCCATAACAGAAACACAACTTCATACTAGAGTTTCACTCATACTGGGTCAAGTTATCATGACTCTGCCCCTTTTATAGACACAGATGTACAGATGGATAGACAGATAGACAGAGCTAATGCATGCACGATTTCAACCTAACATCGCTGAACACAGCTGCAACAACAATGGCACAGGAAGGCAGGAGCTGGCCCACTGCTCGCCGCTAAGCAGGTGAGGGTGAGGCATGAGAATCAGCAAATGGAGGGAGAACGTGGCTTGGCAGTCCGGAGCAACGCTGCTGAAAACTAGAGGTTTCGATTTAAAGCTTTCGTGACTGCAAGGATTCATCTTCGTTGGTTCTTTCGGTAAAGTCACGTATAATGAGAATAAAATAATAAAATAACACAATAAAATTCTCACGACGTTTCGGCCACAACGCAAGCGGCCGTCTTCAGGTGAAAGGTACAGAACTGTCGGGACGACAGAGCTTCATTGTCGGACGACAGAGCTTATTTTCATTCTACGTGACTTTACCGAAAGAACCAACGAAGACTAGAGGTTTCGTTTAATGTTTTCGTCGCCAAATGATGTACACGAACCGGACAGAGCTGACACGTGGTACAGACACATTTCCCAGTCACACGAGAAAAAATATGCCGTTTACATGATTACATTTTCTACGTATTATCATCCTAGTGGAGTCAGGTGTATGCTTTCACAAAATACACTTGATACACAGCAGTGGATCTTTTGACCGATTAACCAAACACCTTGAAGCACCTGACCAGATATGATCAATGCATGAAGTCAGAATTGTATTAAATAATAACCTAGAAGTGGAAGTTGGTGACAAGACAGCCAATATATTGATTCTTAAATGTGTGTATGAAATGTGCTTTCAAGTGTAAAATGTATCTTTATATCGTAGTTATTTTATTTGTGCATTTATACTCTATATTATAATGCTGCTGTATTTTAGGTTGTTTTTTACCTGTACATTTTTTTCAGAATTCATATTGAAACCTTTTAACAAAGTGAACAGTGTTGCGAGTACATTCCTAGGATACACAGTACCAAGAGATATTTGGATATCAAATCCTATAAATCATCTTGTTTTCTTATCATCCTGGTGGGCTTTCAAAAACTTCTTGAGGCATAAACATGCTGATGTGCTCTCCAGTTCTGTACCACCAAGAGATATTTTCCGCTTTCTCACGAGCTTGGTGTAAGTTTCCATTTTCCTCTAAATACATTCCTGCGGAGGGAGCTGGTAGGAACGTTGGGTTGCTCGGGCAATGGCCAGGGTCAATGGCGGCGTGGTGTATTCCGCAAATATGCCCGACTGTGAGGGCGGGGACAAGTCGGAGTGAGTAGGTTAAACGATGAGTTTTATAAGGGCACCACGGGGTGACCAGCCCCTCCCCACCCTCCCCACCCAGCCCCTCCCCACCCTCCCCTCCCCACCCAGCCCCACCCTCCCCACCCAGCCCCTCCCCACCATCCCCTCCCCACCCAGCCCCTCCCCACCCTCCCCTCTCCACCCAGCCCCACCCCTCCCATTTTTGGATGCACGACGGACGGACACAATAATCCCCTGTGGGCTGGTGTAACCAGGAGGTTCCTACACAGTATTATCCTGAGCCCAACATTGCAGCCTAGAGCAGCTTCACCTTTCAGTTAACCGCACACATCCACAGTCTGTTTCTTTTAGAACGTGCAGCAGTAAAGGTAACATAACTAGATGGGACATGTTATGATTACATGAACCAAAAATCCTATACACGTATTGCTCACCTTTCATAGTTAAGCCCTAATAAATTCAGAATATAATGTATATACTTATTTAAAAAAAACCCCATCAATGTTTTTATACAGTATTAGAAATAATGCTTAAAAGAAAATTGTTTCCATGTTCATATCACTTGTGCAATACATTTTGTTCCAATGTATAAATAATTATGTTATATATAAACCGACTTGCTGACTTGTTGAGATGGGATAACACCATAATCCTTACAAATAAAGTTGTACCAACGTTCACACGACTCCTTTCAGCCAAGAATAACTTACCAAACATAGTATTGTGTCATGAAAGGAATTGTGCTGGGTTTTTGCGTGTTTTTTTCTCTCTCTCCATGTTTCCCAACCCACTACTTTGTCTCCGCATTGTGAAGGTGGGAACTGCTATGCAGGCACGCGCATTATCCCAGCCGGCCGGGAGGTAAAGGTGGATTCCTGCACAGTGTGCATCTGTCCGAGTCCTGGAGGAGGTGGCCACTCGGATCGCCAAGCCACGTGTGTCAAGCGAGAGTGTCAACGCAGCTAGCCCTGGCTGCCCATTGCCAACAGTAGATGCTGCAAAGAATAACATCCCCCATGCTTTGCATTTGCATTGAAATGTAATGTAATATTTCTGTTTGGGGGGGGGGGGGGGCGGGGGTGGTGGTGATTTGTGTGCAATGCAGTGGCCTCCAGGGGCCAATACTTTAGGGATACTAATGAGGTGCATTTTAAGCGGCAAAACTCTAATGGGACCGATTTCTCTCCATCGCCAATAAAAGTGGAATAATTTTGGATGTTTTCATGATTATAACATCACAAAATATACACTTCTCTAAAACACAACGAGGTTTTTGTCTCCCCCGGTGGAATTGACAAGCTTAATATCTGTTTCAGGTCTATCGAGCATATGTGGAATTTGAGTGTTCACCTTGTACGTTTATACTTTTTCCTGCAGGACTAATTTATTTCCAAGTGCTAAAATGCTGACCACGGGAATTGGCAGAATATCTTTTGCAATTCTTGCGAAATTGCCTTCAAGATTCAGTTCGGCTTTTTAGATTAACATACAATTTAAATGAAGGCATTTACCGCTTTAATTATCTTGTTTTTCAGTTCTGCAATGTTTTACCCATAAAAAAATTGTTTAAGTACCCAATTAAAATAATTGAAAGTCTGGCTAGTTAGCACCGTTTGAGACGCGGCTCAAAAGAAAGCTGTCTCTGGTGTGGACCAATCAGCTTCAAAGACAATGCATATATTATCAGAGTGTATTTTCTGTTTGCATTTTGACCACAAGTATTGTGGTTAAAGCAGACATGATTCCTTGTAAAAAGGTTTCAGTTTTGTTGCCAGAAAAAAGTGGAAAACCCTATTATTAGCTAAAATTATGAAATAATGATAATAAAAATATATAAAATAACAATTAAAATCAATTTGTCAATCCACTGCTGGATGTAGGCCTCCTTACTCTGTGTCATCCATTGGGACTGTTTGACCATACTTCACCATGGCAGTCACTGCAGGTAGGTGAAGGGAATGAGACCCAGGACTGTAATTCACAGCACAGGTCTCAATATGCAACCTCTAAGACCCACATGGTGATCCATAGATAGATAAACAATGTATTTGTAACGACACTATTTTCAACAAGGAACTGGATATTGTGAAAACAGCGTCTCCATATCTTAGAGAGGAGAGTATTGTAATACTTGTATTGAGATTGGTGGGAGACGTGGAGAGGATTTGAATTGAAATGTTTTTGTTCCTAACTTTCTCCTTGAACAGATCACCCTGTCTTATAAGATGTATGTGTGCTCTTAAGCAGTAATGCATTTTAAAGATAACATTCAGTTAGTTCAAACCCTCCAAGTAAATAGTTTACGGTGCCAAAACAATTATTGAAAAGGTATTAAAGGAAAGGCAAAATGCTAAATAATATTCTATTTTAAATAACAAATAGAGACCTTCAAAACAGCAATCAAATGTGTTTTTATTCCAAAACTAAATCTTGTTACTGACCAAAATATTGGCCATAAGGTTGCATAAATGCATCTGTTTTTAACTTTATATGAAGGCAAGCGAGGTATTGGAATTTCATGGCTCAAAAAGGAGAATGTTTCACGACCGTGGAACGACGGAAGAGAATCATTTTTCCCAGATGTCACGTTGTGTGTGCTGATGGGTCACAGAGCTCAGCGGCTTGCTCATGCCGTGCCTGCCAATAGCGAAGGTCAGAAGGAGGAAAATTTGTCTGTCATGACATTACGTAAGGCATGTACAAATCAGCTGTACTCTATTACTGCGTTTAAAATGTGATTTAAAATTGGGCCTTTGTGTAAAACAAAGATTCATTGATTTTTACTTCCCTTTTGTGCTGATATTCCTCGTTATCACAGCAAATTGAATTGATTTTATGCGTTCAGTGTCAGCGTTTCCTGAGCCTTGTTTTCTGGATTTGTGGGGTTGGAAATTCCGCGATGCTGCGATGGAACACGTGTTTATTGTAATTCTTTAACCACACAAATGCCCTGCATGATGATACGGCATATTTGGAATGACATCGGTGGATTTGCACTCACACGGAACATAACGTACCATCGATACACACCATAAAAGACTAAACTCAAAGCCACTGGAAGCCCAAAATCATGTGCACATGCACGTGCCTATGTGTGCTCATGATTTGTAAAGGATTCAATGTGATTGCGTGTACATGAAGCCCCATAACTGTGCAGAATGCGTAACATAGCAAACTAACCTGCCATACGCCATAAACTCAGATGGCTAATTTAAACTTAGCACACCAAGCCGCGTTCCATCTTTGAGGAATATTCACGCCCTCCTGGTTTTTCATATTTCCCAAACAGTTGTGGTTAATAATGAAAAACGCTCAAAATGTGGTGGATGTGTGCCACACCATCGGTGGTGTTTATCCGACATACTGCATTTGTTACACACAAACTTTCCTAATGCACATTTACATTTGAAGCTGGGGAGACGTGAAAGTGCTCGTATTTTAGATGTCCTGTTGAAAAGCATTTTGCAGGTCTACTGGCATATAAAATCACGAGTACATGTGGTGTTTGCACCGTTGTTGTCGCGCAAGGCCCTCACGAAGACGCCACTGTGCTTCGCCGACAAACCACATTCTGCCGTAGCTTCACAGGAAGGAGCAATGTTGGCACGTGGCTTTAGACATTTTTTTGGGGGGCAAATTTGGAACATGACGCGGGTTCCCACTCTTTTTCGAGCATCGTGGAATCCTGAACGTCCACCACTGCGGCATGCATAACTGACAGCAACGTATAAATCTCAATTAAAGGAATGTTCTCAAACCCAACGTGCTGTTTTATCATTATTTTAAATCACACCTCTAGTCATCATCTCTATATGGAATGAATAAAGAAAACGACTTAGAAGGCAGTCGCATTAAATGGAACATATCTTTTGATTGTAGGCCAGTGGTTCCAATTAAAGTTTATTTTTTTAATTACAATTTTGTGGAATAACGGTGTTAACCAAAAGTTCTGCAAGTCTGCCAAATTAATTTTTTGGCCCAATTTTTTGCCCAATGCGGAATGAGTGGCGCTCCATTGCAAGGGTTGTAAAATTCATATTTTATTATTCAAAATCAAAGAAAACAGAATAAAATGCAACGATGAAGGCTGTGTTAAAAAGAATATAACAGCCTGCCTGAAAAACAGCAATCCTAGGTCACTGATCAAATCACTGACAGCCAAAGGCTGCTTGCCCTTTTTAGTAATACAAACGGAAACGACGATGTGTTGTCTTTTGAATAGATGAAGGCCTCCCCATAAAGCTGTGGTGGTGGGGGTGTTGTTTGTCCATCCTTCACCTCACTGGTCAGTGCATGTTAACGAAGGGGTGCCCAGGAACGATGGACAACATCACTCGTATTCTCCAGACAAGAGCCACTTTTTTATTTAACCTGCATTTGAAAGCAAAGGTTGTGCATATTACGATTCGGTTGTTTGCCATCAGATCTGTGCAACTTTATTGACACCGGACACACGTTTTGAGTGCATCTTACGTCCCAGAGCGTCTCGTGATAGCACGCACATGGCGGATGGTCGAGAAGCCTTCCCCCAGCCCTGCTTGCTCCCGTGGAGCACAATTTGGATAAACTGGGACAAACGACCAAAGAATTACAACGTTTTAGCATCGTTTTCAGAATTGCCTTTTAATATTAATTTGCGTGACAAAACATTTCCCGAGCACTGTGCATATAACTGGGGGGGGGGGGGGGGAAGTGTGTAGTTTGTTGTATTTAATATACAATACACGTTGAACACTGTCAAACTCAGATGTTCTGAGACCAGGTTAAATCCACCAGATTGCACTGTTCATGTGCTCAGAGAAATCACCTGCTGGATGGCCGGCATGGATCTGTCTCTTCTTACTTATTTACACACGGGTCAATACAACCATAGTTTAGAGCACTCTCTCTCTCTCACACACGAGGAATAGGAGACTTAAATGAACCGTAATGCACACTTATCACGGAATATAAAGTAATTCCGGCATAAATTAAGAGTTCACAACATTAACGCATCATTAATCCTGTTTTAATAGAACATTAAAGGTCCTTATAATCATTGGTGGTGCAGTGATAGAAATTCTTTATTCCCATGGGGTGATATAATGACCATAATCGAGTTACCACAAAGTGGATCGTTAAGTGATTCCAACAAGTTTCAATGTGCTGTGTGATTCCTATTGTTGTGTGCTACTCTTGTAAAATAATGCAATTTTCGTGCCAAAACGTATCTATAGTCGTCCATTCTCTTACCAATAATCCATCACGCTGCCCCACCTCGGGGTAATGGTTAAGTGAATTCGATATGCATTTGTACATCATGCACAGTTGTGTACATCTTTATCAAAGACAAAAAAAACAAGCGGTAGCGTTGTTTTCATTTGTTTTGTAGAGTGCAGATATTTTCCATTGGATTGTTTGCTAAGCTGATTTACTGCAACAAGGTGTACTATAAATGTGTTTTATATACTTTCTGCTCGTGTTTAGATTAAAAGTTGACATTCAATCGAGAGGCGTCTGAATCTGTCTTACTGCCATTGCCTCCTGAGTCTGGTGGTCGACACGCAGAATCTGCACCCTTACCCACTTACTTTTGTCAAGGGGTAATGCGTGGTTAGAATTTCATGAATATGTTACACATTAACAGCCCACACTCAGCATACTGAATTAGATTGTTGCCACATGTTGCTATTTGTATCTGGGTGTTGATTTTCTTTTTACAAGATACTTCCGATTACAATGTTCTAACTTGAAATTAGTATTTAACATTTTCTAACATTGCGTGTGACCATGCCCTGAAAAATAACGATGGTACTTTTAAACTTTAAAATGATCCTGAGAACAAGAGCATTTTTTTAATTTAACACACTAAACATTTTATCTACAGAAAGGATGCCGTAATCATAACACGTGCAAGGTTTTCACAGCCAATATCGTGATTCATAATTTATTATTGGGTTAGGCCATGCAATGATCTGACCACATTTTTGTCGATAAAAAATCTCCATCACATGACAGACCCAATAATTTGAACTGTCACGTGGACAATTCTCACAACTACACTTTACAATTAGATACTAATTGCTAAAACTGGTTGATAATTGTTATTTAATTTACCGTTCATCTGAAACAAAAAATATTGGTATGTTAAGCGCTTCTGCACGTGACAAACCATTTGTTCAGAATCAGAATATGGATTTATAGTGGAGGAATCTGATGAGCTATAAAGCTCTGTTTCACAGATGTCCAGTAATTTGACAGATGTCCAGCTGTTTCATAGATGTCCAGTAATTTCACAGATGTCCAGTAGTTTCACAGAAGTCAAGTGTTGGGTGGTGGAGGGTCTTCATGACACAAATTTGGTCAGATCATTAAGTGGCCAAACCCAAAAATGCGCTATGAATGATCGTAATGGTCATCAGCCTGAAATGTTCACGCAATCGTCGTCCGCTTATGTGGACAGCTCAGAGGTGAGAGGTTGAGGGGGGGGGTGGATGGGCTAGACAGTGACGAGTGCAAAGTAAACACGTGGACAACATGCCTCCTTCCCATACCAGGCCCTCCACAGAAATAAATGTATATCTCCTTTTTTTAACACATCCCATCAGCCACAGCATTCTGGGAGTGGGTACCTTTAACAGCATTGGTGTTAAAAAAAATGCAAGGTTTTGTCTGGACCGTTTTGACATTCAGTGTCTTTATTTTGCGGTCAGGCTCGCTTGAAGTATCGGTGGTGAACGTCCCGATGTTCGTAGGCCAGGA